CTCATCGAGGATCTGTACGAATCTCTCTCGGGTGGTCATCAATTTACAACTTTGGACCTTAGGCATGCCTACAACCAAGTCGTCCTAGATACCGAATCCCGAGACGCCACCACCATCAACACTCATCGGGGTTTATTTCGATATAAAATACAACCATCTGGAGTAAGTTCGGCCCCCGGTTTATTTCAATGCTTGATTGATAACCTCGTGAAGGATATACCCCACGTTTGCGCATATCTTGACGATATATTAGTCACCGGCCCATCTGAACATAGTCATCTAGAAACTCTAAGCATCGTGTTAGGACGTTTAGAAGAAGCAGGTTTTAAACTAAGGAGAGATAAGTGCCCTTTCATTGTCGACTCGGTAGAATACCTGGGCTTCATGGGGGGAATAACACTGGCCTCCATTCACTCGAACATAAGCTCAAAGCTTTGAAGACGGCGCCGCGCCCCAACAATACTAGTTAATTGCGTTTATTCCTGGGGTTGGTCACCCACTTTAGTCGCTTTATTAATCAGTCGACTACGATTCTAAAGCCTCTTTATCGACAACTTGAAAATAAACGTTGCTGGAACTGGTCGGAGGTCGAACAAAGTGCTTTTTAACAAGCAAAGGCGGCTCTCACCTCCTCAACAGTCCTACTTCATTATGACCCCGAAAAGCTTATCATACTGAAATGTGATGCGTCTACGTACGGCGTAGGTGCGGTTTTCTTGCACCAAATGCCTTCTGGTGCGGAGATGCCGATTACCTTTGCATCAAGAACCATGTCACAGGCGGAAACCAACTATTCGCAACTGGATAAACAGGCCTTAGCAATAATGTTTGGCAAAAATCGCTTCCTCTAAACGTCCTAACACGATGCTTAGAGTTTCTAGATGACTATGTTCAGATGGGCCGGTGACTAATATATCGTCAAGATATGCGCAAACGTGGGGTATATCCTTCACGAGGTTATCAATCAAGCATTGAAATAAACCGGGGGCCGAACTTACTCCAGATGGTTGTATTTTATATCGAAATAAACCCCGATGAGTGTTGATGGTGGTGGTGTCTCGGGGGTTGTGGGCGTGAACCGCCACAAAGCTCATGTCCCGTACATGGCCCGAGGAAACTCTGTCGTACCCTATCTCTTTCTTTTCCATGCACCTATTCCGTACTCCTCCACTTTTCCATACATATAGTTCTTTGTACGTATCTGCTGCCTCAAACTGTAACTTCATAACCCAATCGCAGCAAACGCTCGAACCTACTCTCCTGTCCCTCCTTACCATATCACACGCAGTGGACGCCATGCTCTGTTCCTCAACGTTTGATTGCTTCTATTTTTTAAGACATGAATGGCTACATCGACAAAGAAGACGAACAAGCGATTACGGGGATAGAACGTGTGTAAGACTGAATTTTCGGCCTAGTATAGGAGGACGCCCCAGCGAAAATGAGAATGTAACATCAACCGATGAAGGAGGTAAAGGTAAGGCGGAGGTTGTGTTCACGATAAGGCCGGATACATGCCGTATCACAGTTCATCTTGTCCGTGAGAACGAGGAGCGTGGTGGCTGTGAATCTAGTAACGTGTCCGGTAATGCAGCTGGCGTCAGGCAACCGGGCGTCCAATTGTTCCCATCGCGTCTTATGGCTGGCTCGCGGAATTATCCGCGTCCTCGTGAGGTGGATTTTGCGATCTTCTTTCAGGGTGTGGGTCGCCCCTCCAGACTAACCGTTTGTGCTGGAGTACCCGCGAGCTAAGCTGCCGTCCTGTCTGGCCTATATAACGGTGAGGACTGCTACGGCATGCGATCTGGAAAAATACACTAGACTGCTCCTCTGCTTTTAGACGGCCCTTCATTTGCATGTTTCGGGTACGCATCGTTGTTACATCGACTTCGCTAAAAGTTTCTTCAGTACAGCACGAGGGTGCCGTGGCAATCCGTCCCCGTGAACATCCGTGCGGCCGCCCATAAATGCCACTTTTACTCCGCCTGAAACTCCTGTTAATCAACTGTTCAAGGTAGGCACGATTTCCCCTAGACATGCAAAAGCTCTGGGTCAATCGTGCTGCACTCTTCGCCGATTGGCTGCGGACGGATAAGGTTCAAGCGCACGGATGCACCTGGTGTCAGTGTCAACAACATCGACGTCTGACACTCGGCCGGAGAGTAAGTTGCTGTCACTGTCTGTTGAGCCTTGGGCGTCCCTTTATTGTAGTAAACGCAATTCAACCTACTCTGTCTTCCCTGTCAGCAGCTAGGAGACAGCTCGCGTTGCCGACAGACCACACTTCGACATATGGCCTAGTCCTACACGAAGTTGTGAATATAAGTAGAGGACTTTAGATTTTCCTCACAATACCCGGGTATGTTAACGGCTTCATTTGTGTAGTCTCACTAGAATAGGACTTTGGCTTACTCTTCATAGGCCGACGCACATGAATCTTTATTGTCAATAATCTTCGGCGGTCGTAATATATATCCGAACAGACAAGTAATTCACAAGGATCCTCAGTTCGTACGAACGACACGATGAAAGCCTGAAAATATAATGAAAATGGGGGAAAGGGTAAAGTTGAGTGTTTGCACGTGTATGCTGATAGTTGGATCTCGCTTTTGCGCAACAGGATATCAAAAATACTCGGCTTTAATGATTCAGCCAGTTCATTCAGTCTTATTAAGTTCAGTCTTTTTAAGTTTTTTTGCCACTGTGCTCTGCACACAGCATGTTGTAAATAATCTCTGACACAGGTAGTTAGTTGTTTAAACGTACCAAGTGCCACAACAGGATTGGGAGCAATTAGGCGTACCTATAAATAAATATCAGTCGCGTGTGAGAGGATGGCTTACCGCGTCTGCCTTGGTTTGCGTCGCGTCTCAGTCTTCGATAGCGCCCAGGTGGTTGTACTTTTCATTCCTCCCGATCATAATGAGCGCGCGTAAGGTTTTATTTTGCTAATGTTTTTCGTCCTGAGTGAAGTTTGATAACAAAAATAATCGCTTCTTTACATTATGCTTTTTCACAATGAACAGCTTTTATACCTAACTTCGCTTCGATGACGTCCTCTTAGCGGAAGAAAACCCCTTGTTACTTCTTGTTTTGTCTCTACTGAGTCTTTGTAAAAACCTCTGACCAATCGATCATGCTACTTTATAAATTAGCACCTCGTTCGCACAGGGATAACTGCTAATATTAGTCTGTGGCTGGTGTTGAGACTAGCCGACCCTTGCCATTAATGCCTGCAGGCCCAGTCCAATCAGCATTCCTGACGCGTGGCTTTGCGAGGGTCCACTTGTGCACAAAATAAATCTAAGACCGCTGCCACATTAGCGGTCGTTCGTTTGATCGCATCAAGGTAGTAGGCGACCATCTGTTTTAGAGCTTGCCTCCCTGGAAGGTCAAATGGTTCGGTATTTACTGTTCACAAAATTAATATTTAGAAATTTCATCCACAGTGAGTGTGCTGTCTCATGAACGTTATCCGAAATTCTGAAATATGTCTTTGGTCCGAGAAGATTGCTTAATTGGGAATGCAATATTAATTATCGTGCAGAATAACCTAAGAAATTCCCGTCTCGCTCCGATGTAGGCTTTATGAGCTTTCTTTCTACCGTTTGCAGAAATTTAATCTTGGGGAAAATGATTGCATTTGTAGTACGAATCTTTCCCTTGTTTTTCGATGCTTTAAGGCAGGAAATATTTGGCGATGTGGAGTTCGCAAGAAGGCAGAAGGGGAAAATATAGGACGGATACCGGGGAAAATCGGTCTAGGAAAAGGGGGATCAGGATTATAACGCGAATAATAAGAAGTTTAGGGATCCGCAGTACCGTCAGACAGTCTGATATGGCCAGGGGGTGGAGGCAAAAAACGACAATTATAAGGTGTCCTCCTGCGCATTTTTTTCGATGACGGGCCACATCGGGGAGTTGCCCCGCCATAGCCCCCTTATGAGGCGGGGCTGTGAGGGGGCTGGTACTGGCAGGGTTTATACATTCAAATATATTGTGCAAAAAGCATGTACAAGATAATTCTTTTCTGTACTTATCTGGTGGTAGATTGCGTCTTTTTAAATTTCTACTCGACGAGAGAGTATGCTTTGGTTTTAAAAAGTCTCTACATGTGAGATTTTTCGAGATCATGAAAGGTCCATTCAAGAAGCATTGCAAATGTACCTTTGTTAATACTACTTATAAAGTATACAAGCTGATCTGCATCCACTGTACAATTTTATTAGTTCTATCCCAGCCAGCACCAGCCCCCGTGCCACCTCACAGTCCCGCCTCGCGAGGAAGCTATGACGGAGCTGTCCAAACAACATAATGAAATGTACGATATTCCTTTGACGTAACATATACGGTATGTAGCTTAAAAATCCTGAATACAAGTGTAACGGCAAGTGAAACAAAGAAATTATTCGGGAATTGAAAGAGATCTTAAAAACCGAAAGATCTTCCCTTTCCGAATAGGGCGTTTGGAGAAGATGTAACTAGTTGCCAAATGAGTACAAGAGAAAACGCTTTTGTCCACGCCTCCTATGTAATATATTTGGATGTAAGTCGGCGAAAAATGGCATGATACGCATGTACTCGTTTTTACGGAGTGAGGTTTTTGTAGACGGTCGAAAGGAAGATCGTTCGAAAGCCGTCTTTCTGATATGACTGAATTATTTTGGGATTTTTGTATAAGATCATCAATATGGCAACCTCACTTAAGCAATATCTTCGAGTCGAAAATGTATTTCATAATTTTAGTTAACATTCCATGAGATAGCACATTTACTTTGCGCACAAGGCAGACCACTGATGTTCACATATTATAGTTTTTTTCATTGAATTAAGAATTAGTTGGCATTGTTTTTTGGACGGGAGATTTTGTAGACGGTCTCAGTCGGCCTCGTAAGGGTTAGCAGTATGTAAGAAAAGATATTAACCTAACGGTTCAAAGTTTAATGAAGACATTTAACATTGCACCTGTAATGATCTCGTATACCTTGTATCCGTCATACTTACTTCTTTCCTTCAAAGCCACTTTTAGCTATAGTATCATTATCGCCATCATCATCATCGTCATCATCATCATCATCATCATCATCATCATCATCATCATCATCATCATCATCATCATCATCATCAAGGAGCTTACGAAATATGCAGTTTTCAAGGTCATATGCATTATGACCTGGACAGAGGCGGCACAACCGCTGGTAGGATGCGTAAGCAAAACTAGACTGCATACCACCCGATGTCTGATGATGAACCAGTATACAACGCTTATACCTCTCGTCTTTTTGGCGCATTTCCTAAACACCCCGCACAATCCGCCTCCTCGTAATCTCTTCAATACTCTCTTTAACGTAATGTAACAGTAGGTGAGCAATTTTAACAGAAATAGTAAGCTGAAGGGGACTTTCTTGACAGCTGCAAAATCACATGTGCATGCGCCACAGCACAAGAGATCTTAATGAAAGTCTTCGTGCACGGAGCTCAACCAAAGGATCTCAAGCAATCATGACGGATGCGCTACAACACCTTCGACGAATGTGAACACGCAGTGCACTTGTCTTGACATTGAAGATAAAAGTTCATTGGTTGATATTAGGAATGTGCGTAATGTTCTCTAAAACAAAGTTGTCACATGTCTTTTCAGCCAGTTAGTTTGCTCAGCTCATCTTTTTTAATCTGGCAAGCTGGCAGAAAAGCATTATCCCCCAATTATAGCTTGGTCCGTCCATGAACAACGTGCACGTTTTCACCTAGCTTTCTGTCTGCAATCGAACTATCTGCGAACCACCAACAGTAGATAGGCATAAGTCGGCCAAATAATCCATAATTCACAGTTTGGTTTGAGTCAGTGGAGCTTGTTTGGAACAAATGCAAGGATAAATGGCGTTTAAAGATAACACATTTGACGTTGAGTGAACCTGGTTGGGTTGTATGGGACATTTCTCGTTAACCCTCTTGTCATTCCGCTCTGCTAATGTAGTTTAAGTTGAGTTGATTAACTCTCCAAGATTTAACTTAAAGTTAGAACTTATTGAAATTTCCTATAACATCTGAACGGTCTTGACATATATCACGTGCCCTTAGGCCACAAGCCCACAAGAGTTGACACTAAAGTGTACCTCATTAAAATGCTTGAACTTCCCCAAGGAATCAAGCTGTTTATTAAATATTCAACACGTTGAGGTAGGCTTATTCAGGCATGCCTCGCGGGGGATTAATAGTGCGCTTGGGAATCACACTTCGAAATCATAGTTGCTTTTAGGGGTACCTTTGAATATCGTGCATATGGCTGCGTTGGGAAAGCAACTAATATTCCATTTCATCTGTCCCGTTGGCTGTCTTATTTGGTAAGTTATGTACACATTTTAAATCTGATAGACGCTTTCATTGCTTGTCTCTGCTTTCCCCAAACCACTATGTGTCAGGCAAGGTATGTGGACCACACCGACGATCATTCGAGAGATGACTGACCAAACGTCTCATCTGGTTGGATGTTGAGGTATACAAATAAAGAATTTGCTTGTATGTCTTGGTTGCAACCGTTAGTAAGATTTTTTGGATGGCGTTTGGCCGATCAAGGTTTAAAATCCTAGACCGACAGCAGACCGGGTTCCTGAAACTTTTTCGTCACCAGGTCTTGAGAGCAGACGCATTTCTAAGTTTAGTTCCACGTTGTTTGTGAGAAAATGCGACTTCCGCTTATGAACCGCACGATACTACCTGTCAACCTCTGCTCCATGTGAACATAATCTTCTTGAACAGGATCATAGTCACACGTCTAGCCTACAGTTTTATGTCGGCTGCGGAAATTATGTGGCTCTCAGAAATTACCTTTTGCAAACCATTAGGATAAATTATAAAAAAGGCCATAGTACAGACCATTGAGAAACGACTATGAGCTAGCAACTCCGATGACGCCACCTGGGACGCCTGCAGGAAAAATCTTATGGGGGAAAATTCATGACCAAACTAGTTGTGCTATTCTAGCAGCCCATATTAAGAAGCGCTTCGTTGAGGAATTGGTGTCCAACTGTGTCAAAGACTTTGCTGAGATGCAGGTTATATCGACCTCTTCATTGTCAAGTCTCTTGCTTGACATTTCAGCTGCAGTTTTAGGGAGATATTGTCTTTCCCTTGCCCACTGGGACTCACAAGTTTGCTCCAGTCAAGGAAGTAGCACAAACATTTGCGACTGACCTCCCATGATTTCCCATATTGCGTCTGTAAGGTCGACTGGACAGGAACTGACCTGATACTGGGGGATATAATCGCATAGCCACCTTTTAGTAGCTGGTGTACGAGCTAGGGGTGATTACTTTTCCGACAGCTAACAGAAACACCAGGTTATGACATGATAAAGAATGGCTACAGAAAGAGGTGGGGGAGCATTGCCAGTTCGACTGAGATAACTTTCTTAGGAACGAACAACATTCTGGGGCTAAGGGTATTTTTTCTATTGCTGGTGAATGGAATAACCCAAATAACTGGAGCGCATTGGGATCATCAAGAATCTTGGCTTCCTGGCTACAAAAGGATAGCGTGCCAAGAAGTTGTATATACTCAGCAGTCTGTGCGTCTAGGTCATGGTAGACAGGTATGAACGAGACTGAGCCAGTGGCTACGAGAATCTTGAAACCTGCAACGTCTGTGATGGGGACACCCAGGACGTCAAATGGCATAGGATTTAGATGAGAGCTATGTAACTTATGCAGTTCAACCTCCCCGAGGATGGTCATCTTTATGACCTCTCCCGGAAGGGGAGTGGTCGTTAAAATTACATTCTCAGTGAGTTAGCTACATTCTTCCAGGACTTTAGTCTCTCGGAAGCACGCAACCGTCTGAGTCCTACAAACTTTTCTTGTGGCTGCTCGCATTTGTAAAAAAATGCCGGTGTTGTTCTTTCCTCATTAGGTGGTCCGATTCTTTTGACACTGTCACGTCTTGCACAACTGCCGGACAGTGGTTCTGTGCGGATCAACACTGGTCGAAGACAGCATTAGTGCCATCGGGTCGTACCGTGTCCCTCTTTTTTCGACGAAATCTGGGTCGAACCCCTTGCATCCTGGGATCATTTATTGACAAGATTATTCTTTCGATAATCCTTGGCTATCGTCTGATAGTAGTTTTTCCTGTCGAAAATATCTCTTAGGCAATGCTACTTTGTCAGCTGTGATTTTGATTGCTAAGCTCGGCTGGCTGTGCCCTGGAGACCATGGTTCCTGCGGTTTATTCGTTTTCCCCCATGGTGTGAATCTGCCTTGCGAAGGTACTGCCAACTATGCTGTTAATGACCCTTTAAGCAGTTGATCCATCTGCTTCTTGACGCACAAAGTCCTTGTGTGCGCTTAAGTTGGTCTTATCAGTCAATGGGATACTTCGTCTAGATCGATCGTTTCGTAGGAACGATCGGTGAACGCCCCCTACCATTTGTATATTCCCGATCAAAACCGACAAGACAACGGGCTCGTGGCCCAGTGGTTCGAGGCGTGGACTTCTAACTAACAGGCCGCGATTTCGAGCCTCGGGTGTTCCACACCCCGTTGTTGGGTATGACTGGCTGACGACGGCTAATAAGCCAGAAATGGCCGTTTCAGTCTCCATTGTCTTTGTCGGTAATGTCATTCAGTCACTACCTATCAGTTTTGCACATCCACTGCTTCTTATAGGCCATTGGCCATTTGTTCTTTATTTAACTTATTATCTGAATACGAAACTATGTCAAAATAAACTTCTTGCAGGATGCTCGAGCTTGATCGGACACCTCCCATCCTACTATACCCCTTGTATTCTATAAATCGATAGCTTTTCCAGTTAACTGACTAGAGAGTAGGATCATCAGTTCCTTAAATTAAGGAAGTAACCGACGTGATTCCTAAATTGTGCAAGCTTCGCGGAACCCGCAAAGATGTGCACTGGTTGGTTTCCTGCAGAAATTTCCCCTAATCTCCCTTACCTTGACACATGCAATATACTGTCGAAGATAGTATCGTCGTCCCGGCGGATAATACATACTTATTATGTATGTATGATGCAAATTTGCTTCATTCACTAAAAATCCGGTAGTTGAAGTCTACACTCCTCCTCTGCCACAACAGGAACTCTGATGTTGGGCTCAGAATAAAGTAAATTTCTTTGATACGTGTAAACTCTTCTCTCGCAGATCACTGAAAGTGCCTCTCCCTTCCACCCAACTGTTTAATTTTCAAGGCTACTTGAGTGGACTACCAATGTTGCAAATAGACAAGTATTTGCAAAAAAATGGGAAGATGTACATTTAGCGGAACCTTAGCAGAACTGTCACTGACGCCTGCTAAAGATCCCTCCTTAGACCTTAGAGTTTAACACTGTTGCCTATGTTATCCATCAAATGTGCCGTAGATAAATTTTGCTATGGACAGGCAACATTGCATGGCTTCTTCCTTGTTGCCAAATATATTACAGTCATCAGGATTGGCTCTAGTCCTCCGACCCGCTGGAATGGGTGTGGCGGTTGTACTTTTTCGACCTGTGTCGCCTATTGTGTGTACTGAAGCAGTTATTCATTTTCATCTATATCATCAATGTTTAGCGTAGGCGCTTATTAATGGCCGGCTTTGCTATTATGCTTCCCTAATCTAGCTCCTTAGTCAAGCTCTCTGATCTTAGTTTATGCTTTTGCGATGTTTTAAACAGTCATGAGTAGGTGGGATTGTCTCTGTTGCCTTGTTGTCCTTGTTGTTCCCAACTTGCCCTGACTATTTCCACTTTTGGTATGGCTTCTTTTGTTCATCGGTAGAGAACTTTGCGATGAATTTTACCGCCTTTGCTCTGGCCTTGCCTTTACAATCCAGCAGTTCTTACTTGTCAGCATTTTGCCAATTCTCTGAACCCTCTTTCAGTAACACGGGTTTGACGTACATTGCAGTAATGCATATATGATCTCCGATATGGTCCATTAAACTCCAGTAGTTCAAGAGGTTGTCACTTGCACTTGAGGAAGTTTAAGGTAAATCAGTAAACGGGTACTAATATAAAACAACTTTCGATCGATCGAACTTTCGCATTGATCATTAACTTAAACAAATATTAAAGAACTCCAAGCGGGCGTAAAATTCACTTCCCGGTGTGTCTTGGCTACCTCATCTCCTTTATCAGATAGATTACTTTAGACAGCTCCCGGAAGTTACTCATGTCTTAACCCGGTGAGATGTTATAATGTGTTTCTTCCTTTATTTAGCACCACCGTACACGG